AGGGCTAGAAAACACACTCTTAGGAATTACACTAGGATGGTAGATAATCCAGAAAGAAATCTCTACCTGGGGCAGTGTATTAGTTAGCTCAGGTTGCCATAACGAAACACCTTACACTGGGTGGCTTAAACAACCAAAATTCATTTTCTCAGTGTTCTGGGGACTGGAAGCCCAAGGTCAAGGAACTGACAGGGTTAGTTTCCTCTGAGGCCTCTCTCCTTGGCTTGCAGACAGCTACCCTCTTCACTTGGCTGTCTCATTGGGTGGGTATATCTCTGGTGTCTCCTTATGTGTCCTAATATCTTCTTATAAGGACACTAGTCAAATTGGATTATGGCTCACCCTAATGGCCTCATTTTAACTTAACCATCTCTTTAAAGACCTTATTTGCAAAGGGGAATGGAGATAAGCTGCATGCTGAATAAAAAAGACTACTGTATATATGAAACTTTATTTTATATAAACTTAATGGTAACCACTGAAAAAAAAATCCAGAACTAAGACATATAACATAAAAAAAGAGGAAAGAGAGGAAAAAATCATAGAATACTACCAAACAAAAATAACAGACAGAAACGCAAAGGGAAAGAAACAGTGGAGACACTGAGCAACAAGAAAACAAAAGATAAAATGGCTATGGGCCGGTGAGTGGCTCAGTTGGTTAAGAGCTTGCTAAAGAGTGCAAGCTCTGAGCAACAGCAGTTTGAATCCTGGCCCGAGCTAAGCAGCTGCTGAGCTGCCAACAGATGGCAGGATGGCTCAGCTAATAAATAAATAAATAAGTAAGTAAATAAATAAATAAGTAAAAATAAAATGGCTATAGGAAATCCTGATATATCAATAATCACCCTTAATGTAAATGGCCTGAGTTCACCAATAAAAAGACACAGAGTAGCAGATTGGATCAATGCTGCCTCATTCCTACTCATTCCACTGCATTTACAGTGTGGACATTAGGCAGAGTTCCCTAATGGGCTGTAGCATCTCAGTATGCTCCCAGTGAGGTAGAAATGAGGAAGGACACATTTTCCTCTTTCGTTCTGTCCACTTATACCAATAGTTCCACCCTTTAAAGCCATATGGATATTAGTGTTCTCTTTATGGTTTACAATTACAGTGGAGAAGGGAAGAAAAAATCTAGAAAAGCATAGCAAATATATTTATCCCCAAAACACAAAGGAAAAGGACCCAGTATGTACGTGAGGATAGGGTGTCCAAATTCCACACCTATGTTCTCAGATTCACTTCCTCTCCAAGAGAACCTTCTAATATCCATCTTGCAAATCTTCACCCACCTCTCAGAAGCTTTCCAGTGCACATAGGTCTTGTTCTTAGCCTAGGATATATCTCCCTGCTCCCAGCAATTTTCCCTAAATCTGGATTATTCAATCTATAATTGTGACCTAGGCTCCAGCAAGACAATCCATAGTAATCTTTGACATGCCAAATCCCATACAAACATCCAGGTGTGCATTGACACCACTCTTATATTCTCAGTTGGGCTCCTCCCACCAGCATGAGTTGCATATAAGTCTCTTAGTTTTCTGATTGTCCAGTGGTTTAACTGTTGGAACACACACTTAACATGTATCCACATGCACTCACCCATAGTCTTCATAGGACAAACACTATCCGGCAGAGACAGTAAAAACAAGCCTCATAAGAAGGAAAAGACAATAATTCCCTAAAGTTCTATAATATACAAGGTCACCTCTCCGACAATGGAGTGAGTACAGTACATAATTATGCAAAGAGGTGTTAGTTCATATCTATTATTCCCCTCTCTCAAATTGTACCTCCTTGAGCCTGCCAAGAATAAGAAATGGCCCATTACGAAGCCATATACCTCTTAATGGCCACTCAGTTAGCTACACAAAGACCTGGTTAAAGCTTGAAATTACCTCTTGAAATTTTCCAATTAGCTATGAGACAAAGGCCATCCATCTCCCCAGACACTCTCTTGGGAGGAGGGCTTTGGTGCTTGGGAAGTAGGGGAAACATAATCAGATTTGCATTTTTATCAAAATATCCTCAGTGGTAAGTAAAAAGTGGTTGTGGGGGAGGAGTGCAAGAGTGCATACTGGGGACCAGGAAGAGCAAAGGGACAGATACATTGTGATCTTAATTTTGCAGTCAACTTGCAGAAAAGGAGTTCATGCATGAAAAGGAACATTGTCAATGCAATAGGTTCTAGTTCACACTATGGAAATTACACTGAGATGGCAGTGTCTTAGAAAATTTATAGGGTTTCATGAATATGGATTATCACTATTTTATAAATAGGGAAAATGTAATAAGATGAAATGGCACCCCCCCAAAAAAAATCACCAAACAGTGATAGAATATATGATCTGTACAAAGTAATATAATCTTTTCCTCATCATTTTCCAAAGGGAGACCCTCATCAACAACAACAAAATTCTAGACACTGTGTGTGATCATGACGACTTTATATGCCTTTGGATCAAAGTGATACAACTGGAGTAACTATGTAGCTTTTGTTCTAAACTTAAATTTAACAAGTGATAATTCAGAAAGTACAATCCCCATACCTCAGACACTCTTCCTCAGAAATGAGATTTCAACTTTCCTGACGCTAAATTTGGGCAGAAGTGTCAAATCATTATAATAACTGCAAGCTGGCCCCAGCTAAAATAGCATTTCAGCAGCCTGGCACAGGCATATAATCAACTGCACACCCACTGCTGGACTTGATACACAATTGTGGCACCAAAAACTGATTAGAATGTACCTCTTGGTGCCAAGTATTGCAGTACAGCAAATTAACCTTTGACCAGAATAATCATTTTCCCCCTTTCTGGATGTCTAAGTCAGTTAAGCATTTTCAGATCAATGCAACCATATGTCCACCTGTAACACTTGAGAAATTATTCCTTATTTGCAGAATAACCTTCTGTCTCACAAAGGACATATTATGTCTTCCAACTCAGAAGGTGGGAGGGTTGGGAGAAACTGGATATTTCACAGCATTTGACACACTAATCAGTCCAGAAGTGGCTGCCTATTTGCATCATATTAGTATATCATATGTAAGCATTCCCGCATAAATTTGACCTAAACCAATAGTCCCCTACCAAATATTCTCAATGCTTTAATTTTCTCAGGATTGTCAAGATCAATACCTTTCTCTGCACCATATATCTTTGTGGCAGTAATTAGCTTTGTAGAATTGTTGTTAGGGAAAAGTAGGTTTCCATGGAGAAAAAGAAAGGTCTACAAGTTGTTATGTATATAAAAGCAATTTCAGGAGGAAAATGGCACAGAGTGGGCAGCTGCTCTAAATAGTCTAGATTTATTCCTTCACTTAAGTCCCAATGTTTCTTATTTTTATATTTCTGGACTTTTAGCTAAAGTACAGTACTATAATTATTAAATTGTTCATGATAGTCATCTTTTGTAGAAACTTAATTTGTATCTAATGTTGCAATGTTTGGGATTACAAGTATTCCACTTTATTTGCAGCTTATTTCTTCCATAAAAATATCGGTGGAAACCTTACTGCAGGGCAATCCTTCAAAAATCGTGTCTCATTTTCTACCAAATAAGTGTAATAATACAAATGTACTTTCCTTAAAGGAGGCCCCATGGGACCAAAACAAGCCACAAACAAATATCAAAATAATGAGAAAAATCTTCAGTCACAATACTTTGTGTATAAATATCATTTTTAATGTGAATTCTAAATAAAGGTGTACTCGTTGAAGTTTTGTCTAGGGGTGTTAAATACTACAAAAAGAAAATACTTTTAGAATGAATAGTTAATGCTTGCGGGCTTTAACTGTCCATTTAACTTTGAGTAGAAGCTCATACACGAGTTGACTTGTGAGGGATAGAGAACACATTAGCTGCTTCTCCTCCTTCTGCTATACAGATACAGAAGTAGGACTATTTTGGCATAGTGTGTAACTTCTTTCCTAAACAAGGCAAACAGTGCACTTTGTTTTGTAGAACAAGGTCTTAAGATAAAGTGAAAGGGGCACATATTTTGGAATTAGAAACACAGAACTTCAGACACTGCTTCTGTGACTGTTTTGCAGTGTGGGGCTCTGTTTTCTCAAGTGTAGAAGAAAGATAAAGCTAACTGGAAGAGATTTCTATAAGAACTAAATGAAGTGTTTGTGAAAGCATCCTCTCTGGTCCTTTCACCTTTAAAGACATGATTTTCACTGGATTTAAGTGGTATTTACAAGAAGCCTAAAGCTGTTTCCCCCCAGGAACATATACTTTTCATAGCAAATATTGAGGAAAACAGGAATGTATTAATTTCTAATGTAATATTTCAGGAGATCATTAAGAAGAGAGATGCCATCAACATAAAAAAATCAACCCATAAATACTGACATCTTCATGCTTAACAAATCCATCAGTTATAAAGATCAGCAAATATATAATACCAGTTTTACTCTTTTTTTGGCTTTAGAATGACTGTAGACTGATATTGGCCATAAGATGATTGATACCTAATAAAGACAATTAAAAATGTGGAAAATACAAAGTCTGAAGAATACTAACCTCATTATATTTTTTCACTAAAAAAAATAGATGGATGGCTAACACTAGAGTTTGGTTATCATAAAAGTACATATTCTAGTATCCTTATATGCAATATATACTTACCTTTTGTAAGAAAACTAGCCCATTGACTTAAGAAGCTTGATTACTTTGGTACCCTGCAAGATTATTTTTCTCCTAATATAAGTGTAATAAATATTCTAAAATTCTTCCACTGAGGTATATGCACAAGTGTTTTCTCATCATCCCCAAAGGCTCTGAAGAACTCATACAAGAGGAGCATGTTCCCAGAAGGCAGCATGTCACCTCCTCCTCCACATAAGCCTCTTTGTTTTCCTTCCTTTCCTCTCACTCACATCTTGACATTTCTCCTCATCACTTTTCCTACATCACTTTCACTGTTTCTATTTCTCTTTGTCCTAATTATCTGATTTTTCCTTTCCATATTTGGTGTGCCAGCTTTGGAGAAAGGGCTTGAGGACAATGCCTGCTAGCACCGACAAACTTCACAGAGGTCCACAGAGTCAGCTGAAGAGTTAGATTCACATGTGATAAAATTGATATGGAGAGTTGAGACTGCTGAGTTGTCCCTGGAGCATTGGTGTGCAGGGGAAAGAAGGCTTTTTCAGAGGGCTTTGGGCCAAGAGAGATCAGGAAGGGAACTGCCCGTAGTGCTGAGTGGCCCCACAGAGGGTGTAGAGAATAAAAGAGCCATGAGCAATACTTTGAGGAGGATTGATAGAAGTGATCAAGGCAAACCTGCTCTGACAACAATTCCAGGCTTACTACACTGTTTCTCTGTTAGTGGTGCTGTGTTCTTATTTTGTTTGCCCTCTTGTGTAGAAACCTACAAAACTAGGACACTGCCTGCAAGAGCCCAGTGACCTCATTTCCTGGAGGCCAATACATCACAGTAACCATCAGATTATGAATACTGGAAAGGAGGACTTGATGCAGAGACTCCTCAACCCCTATTTCAGAAATAACATCTAGGGTTGGGTCTGTTATCCTTTGCTTAAATCCTTGAAAAGATTAAAAAGTCTGTCCAAAAGTGAACCTGAGGGCAAAATGTGCAAACAGGCAATATTGTTTGTTCGACCTTTGATCTTTCACAGAATTTGTGACCATTTCAGGAATGGGAAAACCCCAAAACATTTTATCCTGTGAACTTATCTTCCCTTCTGCTGTTTGGAAGCATGTGTATTTGAGGGGAATTTTAAAATCCATATCTTAGTTTGTATCTCTACACATTATTCATCAAGACCTTGCTCTTCACATGCTATGTAATACTCAAGAAGTCATTTAAGTCATTTTAGGATCTTCCTAAAATTCAACAGGAAGTTGTGTCTACCAAGGACACACAAACCTGAAGCATTTGCACGTTTCATTTGAATCCAAGTGCAGAAATCATAAGTGCTTTGGAACAGGAGAGAGACTCAGCCTATCTCTTTTCTGTCAATAAGAAAGGTCTGACACAACATCATCCAATAACACTTCCTGACAATCCCACCTGGAAATGATGTTTGGACATGAATCTTATATTACACGCACATCACTCATTGTCTATAGTCTCCTGTTATAATCACTTGTGTGTGTATATCTTCTGTCTTTCATGGAGATGTCTGATATAAGAGGATGGAAACTAGATGTAAGCTCAGATGACCAAGGTTTGAGTCCTGATTTCCACACCTGTGTGACCTTGGACAAATCACTGAACATCACTGAGCCTCATCTCTTCTGCAAACTTAATGAACTTTGAACACATCAGAGATGATAATTAACCTAAATATATTCTGTGGACACCTAAATGATAGTCCCCGGTAATTGCCATCTTCCATGAAATGCACACAGATTTTACTTATTCATACTTTCTGTTTCAACAAATATTTGTTAAGGTACACAACAGAAATGTGTGGGAAAAGAAAACAGAAATACAGGAAAAGAGGAAAGAAGCTTTATATTCGACAAACATCTTTTTATGCCAAAGTGGAATGCCATTATCATAACAATTTTGTGCTGTTACATACCCTGTCTTGGCCATTTCGAAATTAAGCAAGGGAGAACCTACCAAGTCCTGGGAAGCTCATTTTTATAAATGTCTCCAGATTAGATGTTTTAGCATATTTTATGGTGAGGTGGTTCAAACTATTGTATTTTTCAAAGACTATGCCAATTTTTTTGCTTAAAGTATATATTATTTATAGTGTGTTATACTGTATATAATTGCACAAGAGACATTTTAAAATCTAATTTTGATTTTTATATTATGCTTGCTTAAAATTTTAGGTGCCAACATATTTTAGAAATAAATAATTCACTTGCATTTTTCTGCTTATCACAAAAGAAGAAGTAAATGTGTTTACCACCACATGTGATCCCCAAGAGGGTGTATTTCATTCAGGATGTCAAATTTTAAGTGGAGGAATAACAGGGTGCAGACATACTGAGAACGCTCTCTCGGTAGCTGATGTTTTTCCCTCTAGTGGGTGATGAAAATCAAATCCCCAAACTGCTCTTTCTGGGCTTTTTACTAATTAACTTGACATCTGTGGTGAAGCAGAACATAGACTAACCTTGTTCATTCCCAGTCCCACAATTAAACTGCTGGTAGTTCAGGTCAGAAGCTTGTCTCTGGAAATTTGAAAGTAAAATAATTCCAAATTGACATAAAGCATAAAACAACTTCTTTAATATTTTTACCAAAATATTCAGGAAAAGGAGGATCTTTCAGGTAGAGTAAAAATTGCACTCTCAATCCACCATAATTCCCTACTCTGTCTACTGTGATTTTTCTCCATCTATGGATGACAGAATCAAAGGATCCATAAAATTGGACCATTCATGTAAAATATTTCCTGTTATGAGCACAGATGGATGGAGTAATGCAGTGCTTGGGATGTGATGCATACAGAGATGGGGGTGGTAAAATGAAGTGGGCAGAAAGTTTCTTGGAAGATCTAGGGAGGGAATAGAAACATTCCTCTAGAAAAGAAATTAAAGGAATAATATAGCAAAAAAATGTCTACTGCAAGGAGAAAGTGTTCAATTTCCCTCATTCATGCTACTATCAGAAAGTGTTTGGTGGCTTAAGCATGTTAGTAGCATGGAATCCATGCAGACAAAGCTATTGGGTGACTCATGGCTTACCAGAAGGAAGTAAAAAGATTATGATGGGAAAAACAAGAGACAGTATACTTGTGCACAAATGAGAATACAAATGAAATAGAAGCATTGATAGGTAAAAGCACATTGCATGGGATTTTCTTGAAAATACTTCATCAAACAAATTTTAAGTGAAGTATTGAAATAACTTAGTTATATACACAACACAGAAAAATCTCAAAAACATGCTGAGTGAAAGAAGCTTTAGACTAAAGAGCACATACTATATAATCCCATTTATACGATGTTCTAAAAGAGGCAAAACTAAAAATCTAGGGTGAAAAACATCAGAAAAATAGTTGCTTCTTGGAGTCAGGGTGGAGGCATGAATTGAGTGGGAAGAAGCATGAGAGAATATTCTCGGGATGGTTATGTTATATGTCTTAATAGAGTTTGAGCTACACAGGTGTATGAGTATGCATGTATCAAAACCCCTTAAATGGCACACTTAAGATCTGTGAATTTCACTGTATGTAAAATTTACTTAAAAATAAGGACCTATTTGCTGAACTAAATGCTGAACTCTATTACTAATCTGCTAGCTAAAGTATTTGGGGGTAAATATACTGATGTCTGTAGCTTACTTAGAAATACATCAAAATATGAGAGATTGCTGAATGGATAAATGAAAGGCTGAATAGATATGTTATAAAACAAGTATAGGAAAAGATTAATTGTAGAATCTAGATAGTGGACATATGAGGGTTCATTTTACAAATTTTCAACTTTTTTCTATATTTGAAAATTCTTATAGTAAAATGTTAGAAAAACTAGGAAACAGGAGAGATGAAATAAAGCTGGTAAAAATGTCAGTGACTGGTGCAGCAAGCAGACAGTTAATGGATTCATTATATCCTTCTCTCTACTTTCTGTATGTTTGAAATTTTCCACAATAAAAAGTTAAAATGGAATTCATATGAAGAGATTATCCAAATTGAATATAGAATTATATTTAAGTTATGTAGCTATGAATATGTACCAAGGGTGCCAAAAAAAGTATACACCTTTTAAGAAAGGAAAAAACAAAGTTGTAATACTCAATATGTAATGATAACAAAAGATGAATACAAGTCACGTTTGACTTCTGCAATGACAAGAGGTGCTCAAAGTGGTTACCATCAGCGTCCAGACACTTCTGATGATGGTGAACTACTGCTTGAGCAACGTTGACCAAAGTGTCCACTTGTATACATTTTTTTGGCAACCCTGGTGTTTTCTCTCATTTTCTATACATTTAATAACAGTATCTGATTTTTCCATAAAATAAGAGGGGGGGGTGGGGAAATGGACAGAAGTGGGCTTAGATGGGAATCCAGGGAAATTAGAAGAGAGGGTCCTGACCTAAAAAGTCCAGCTCTGTTAAAAGATGATCATTTTCATAAATCACTTCTGTTCACCTAAGTTCAATTTAACTCTGTGTCTTGATCCTTGCCTAGAGAGAGGGACTCTACCTCTTTATGCTGTGAGAAGTAGAAAAGGTACTGGTTTGTCAGAAAAGTCATAACGTATTTTGTCTATATTTTTCAAAGGTCAATTATTTATACAAAGAACAAAGATAAATCAATGATATATTGCCCATTTTGTTCAATAACCTGTTGCCATCTTCCAGTGAGCTACATAATTCCTCATTCATAGAAGGACCTGTCTTTATTTGTGAAAAACTGAACAAGGTGCTGATTCACAGCCTCATCTGAATTGAACGTTATACCACACAAGGAGTTTTGAAGAGAGGGAAACAAGTGGAAGTCTGATGGCGCAAGTTCAGGCAAGTATGGTGGGTGTGGCAACACATCCCATCCAAGCTCCAATAATTTTTGACAGGTGATCATACTTGTGTGTGGTCTCGCTTTGTCATAATGGAACACAACCCCTTTACAATTAACAAGCTCTGGACGTTTCTGGATGATGGATTCATTCAAACTGTCCAATTGCCGACAGTACACATTTGAATTGGTTGTTTGGTTCCTTGGTAGGAGCTCAAAAAACACAACACCTTTAAAATCCCGCCACACTGAGAGCATAACCTTCCTCTGATGAATATCCGTTTTCAATGTCCTTAGAGGCAAATCATTACATTGAGACCAAGACCGTTTGTGCACCACATTGTTGTAAACAATCCACTTCTTATCACCAGTTGCCAGTCGCTTGAAAAAAGAATCGCTTTCCTAATGTTTAATGAGCATATTGCAGATGTTTATACGCACCGTCAAATGAACTTCTTTGAGTTCATGTGGAACCCAAATATCGAGCTTGCTTATGTATCCCAGCTTCTTCAGGTGGTCGTGAATGCTTGAATGATCAATGTTCCTGCAATCTCTGTGTAATGTGGGTTTGACTCGGTCAATGCCTCTATTCTGTCGCCATCAACCTCCTTGGGCCTCCCTGACCGAGGAGCATCGTTGAGATCAAAATCACCAGCATGGAATGTCGTGAACCATCGTTGGCACTGATGTTCTTGTAGAGCATTGTCACTGTAAACTTTATGTAACTTTTCACAAGCTTGACACGTGTTCTTCCCTTTATGGAAGTAAAACAGTAAAATATGGCAAAAATGCACAGTTTGGTCTTCCATCTTCAACTTGTAAAATCTCCAAAACTCAACCAAATTGCTCAATTTTTGTTTAGAATGAAGCTAGAACTGTCAGCTGTCAAATGACATAGCAATAACATAGATGCAAATAACTTGAGTGCTTCCAAAAATGAACTAGCGCCATCTGTTGCAAACATGCATCATGACTTTTCTGACAACCCAATAGTTATTAATAATACAAACTTTTGAACCACATGAAAAAACATGGTAGACACTGGAGTCAGTGTAAGCCTCCTACAGT